AGGGCTCAGCTCTCTCATTCATGAGGGAAGAGGAAGCGGATGGAGACTTACAGAACTCAGCATTTCGCCTTCAGCCTGATCTTCCGTCGTTGTCGCAGCTGTCTGCAGGACTTGAAAATAGTTTCTCTTGCTGATGCTGTCTGAGACATATTTTCATTTTTAAATTGTCCATTAAAAAAATAATTTCTTTGAGGATCAATCAGGACGTCAAGATCAGCCCCTTCATCCACCAACTCCTTCCATTCGACTTTGTAATGGAAGTATACCCTTAACGACTGAGTTATGATACTTTAAATGAAAAATAAAGTTTCGCTATTAAAAATATAATTTATATGCTTTCATGAAAAGGGCATAAGTTTCTATACGCCTTTATAAAACATTCATTGTCGATCTTAGCTCTTGTCTTTTTCCATTCCCGTCATATTCGCATCAATGAGCATAATTAGCTTGCTCTCACAATGGGCGAAACCCCTTCTGCGTTCTGAAGCACTGGTTATCCCACAGCGTACACCCTACGTTATCATTACAGATTCCACTTGATTCACGTTAAAAACTTATTTCAATCGTTCTCTTCTGATTTACTACTTTTATAATTCCTGAATCCATTAAGGTATGTATATCTTCTGTTGGTAATAATTCAAAAAAATTAGCCTCAAAACCTAGTTTCGTTGTACACAACGCGCTATGAAGATCCACTGGGTAACAGACGACAGTTCGTATAGTAAATCAGAACAGTATTTTCATGTACTGTTTCTTCAGAGGCCACATAAAATCGACAAATGAGTTGTTTACAGTAATTATGAACTTGCTCAAATACTTGTGAATTACTGCTGCTGATGAAGTAGTCACAGAAGTCGTTTTCACGAGTCAAAAGTTACGGTTGAAGAGCGTTAGAAGCTGAAGTAGAAATCCGGTTCTCAGCATTCGTTCGTAAATCCATATCCTCAGAGGTTGTGGCGTTTGGTTAATGACTCTACGGATACAATTCCATCAGAGCAGAATATCTTTTATGAAATCAAGTACAGAAACTGTACTGTTCACACGCTGCGGTATCTAAGAACATGGACTGATAAATGCGAAAGGTCGAGCAATAATACGGTGCAAGCGAAAACTTTGAATCTCATTCTGAACTGCCCATCAAAAAATTTCCAGCAGTAACAGAGTTCTGTTCTTCACAGCAACGATTCCTGTGGAGCGATTTTAGTTTGAGGTCATGGACGAAGTCACGACCAGAAGGTTGATCATAGAATTATAAACAACTGGTAGAAATTTGGTACCGTCTTTTTCAATCCTTGCTTGGTATTTTAAAGTAAATCATTCTTTATGAATTCCAGTTGCTGTTTTTGTTATGCTGCTGTTATGCGTCTTGCGATTATACGTTTTACATCACTTATACGTTTCTTTAAAATAACGCTGTTGCCTGAGGTCTAATATATGCATATTAAATGAGAGTCCATTTTATAGAGAGGAGGCTTATGGAAAGGTATGTACTTCGAGATGCTGAAGTTATCTTATGTGTGAGATGTTAAAGACAAGAGAGTTTGGGTTTGCCACACCCACACCGAGATCCAAAACGAAGATGAGAAGCGAAGTCGTACAACCAGCCACAAACATCCCCAACGATTGCCAGATAGAGATCTAGGAGCATGTCTATTTGGGACAGCTGATCGTTTCCGATCACCCTTTGATCCAGAACTCGCCCGAAGGCGTCGTGTCGAGTGCAGCACGTACAGAAGGAACGCTGACATTCTTGAAATCTGAAAATTCCCAATTTAGTTAAAACCGCACAGCTTGAAAACAGAGTATTGCCAACACCTATGTATGGTCATGAGAGCTGGTCATTGACGGAAAAGAATGAAAAACTGTTATGAGTGCAGCAGGGGCTATGCAAAAGAAGGGTGCTAGAAATTTCCGTTTTTCAGAAGCTGCTAAATGAGCAAATAAGACAAAGTACAGCAATTCAGGACGAGGTAGCAGTTTCTCGAGCAGGAAGACGACGATGGGCAGGTCACATAACTCGACTGATGAATGGTCTGGTCGGTAGACTTCAACGGTAACGGGTTGATACTCAAAGGGTTTCAAAGATTCAATTGGAAGACCTCAGCTCAAATGGGACGATGCGCTAAAAATATAGATATGAAAATTTTGGGCGATAAATTTTACGAGACAGATGATCGTCGGCATACAGAGTAGGAAGGGTAATTCTCGCTAATTATCAAGAGAGATCATTCACTTCAGCCTTGGCATGCCCGTATCGAACAACTGCCAAAAACGCTGAGGTAACCGCAGTCCGTAGGGAGTCCTTACGTCTTTCAAGACAAGTCATTCTCAAAGATTAATACCTAAGTTACAAACCTAAAGGAAGGATTAAGGGCAACCGACCATATCATTCCATTAAACACAGAATATTGTTTTCCGTCGTGCCGTCTATCTTCTCAACGAATAATAATAACCGCTTGAATCGTAAAACCATGAGTTGTTTCAAGGATAGTAACTTCATATGGTAAGAGAACACTCTCCTTAGAATCAGTTAAATAGACAGGACCTGAAAATTCGGTATCGAGACCTTTCCTAAATTTGCACCTCCATACATTCACCACCCGGAACAGAGAAGTGAGATTTGTCATTGTATTTCTAGTGATTACGCACAGTCTTTAGTGTTCCTCAATTTTCCTCCTTTAGCAGAGATGGCAAACTTCCTTTTACGAGCCAGTCACAAATGCTAACCAACTACTGACAGCTGATCGATATCGAAAATTAGAAAAAGAATCCTCACTAGTGAGGACATCGCTGAAATTTATCACATTAGATGATGCAGTTTTTTCGCTCTTATTTCATCATCAACCGTCGGCATTGTTGTATTGAAGACCACTTTGTTTTATATGTCGATTTCTGATTATAGCGTGATTGCTTAGCTAACATTTATTATTTCCTTCCAAGCTCTTGTCTCGCATGATTAGACTCG